GGCCACTGGAAATCCTGGCCAAAGGGCTCAACTTTGTGGAGACCACCCCAAGCACCCTAGAAGGAACTTTTCTGTGAGTATCCTAGGCTTGGTGAGCACTGTTTACCGGAGAGATAGTTTTGAGGATGCAGAGCGTCATAGAGGCCCAAGCTGGGTGGGTGGGCTTGTCACCTCTGCCCTGAAGGTTGGCCCTGCCTGTCTGAAGCTCACAGCACATGCACCCCCATTCCTAAGGAAGCTAAATAGGCCCTGCACAGATTAAGCCTTCCTCTCCCCTGTGTACGTACATATGCATTATTTCACTGTAGCAAATAAAACGAAACTTAGGCCTTGGATCTGGGGCTCTGCTCCTACACCTTGATTCTTGCTCTGGGGGTATGATAAATCAGGATGGCTCCTGACAGATTTTTTTCAGGGAGATCCTTGATTTTGTGTCACCCTTCTTCCAGAATGCTACCTTAATGTGAGCTCAGGTTCTCAAGGCTGGACCAGAATCCCCTGGGAACTAACACAGAAGACTGCAGGGCTGCCCCCAGGTGAGATTCTGAAGTAGCCAGTTGTGGGTGGGGCCCAGGAATCTGCATTTCTTTCTCCATTCAGTGTTATTGAGATAAAAGTAATACAGTACTGTGTAAGTTTAAGGTGTACAGCACAATACTTTGATAAATTGGGAATCTGCATTTCTAACAAAGGTCTATGATGCATTCTTTGGGTTGGTTGTGCTGGAAGGGTCAGTAGTAGAACTCCCCACTGATGAGCTGAGACTGTAAGGTTTCCTCTGCATAGTGTTTGCCGACTTTTTGATTTATGCAGTTTTGGCTGCTCACTCCCCTTCTCCAACCCCGACTGCTTCCTTCCCATACCTTGTTGGAACCCAGACCCTGAAAGTGTGGGCTTCCCAGCCAAAGCGTCCTCCTGCTCCTGGCCTACATCTGGTGTGCATGGAAGCAGAAGTAACCCAGAGCTTGGGTTCACGTTGGTTGGTCAGGTGGATCCCACCACTGGGACGAGACTGGGCTGTCTGCGGTTTCAGGCAGAGCCTGGTAGCCTCCTTCCAGGCCTCTTCCTACTTTAGGAACACAAGGGGGTGGGATGTGGAGCCCCCATCCCTTTGCTCTGCAAGGGCAGAGAGTGGCTGCAAACTCTTGCCTGTGCGGTGAGCTTGGTATCTGGGGTGGAAGCCCAGGCCTGCCTCCTGCCGGAGAGGGCAAAGCAGCGGTGGAGTGGGCAGGCCGGCCTAAGCAGTGTGGAAGGGCAGAAGCAATGCAGTACTTTGTGAGAATCAGGGAATGTGACTGAGGGAGCGCAGATGTTCTCTCAAGCCTGTGTCGGGAGCAGCGGAATTTAGAAACGGGATCCACATTGCCTACCACCATGGTCTTACACCTCATCTGCACGGCAGGACTAATCCCCATGAGGTGGTGGTCAGGAGGATTATTGGGGTGGCGCACTTACTTAGCATGTGGTGAGCAGTGTTCAAAAATTGTTAGCTGCCGCCATTCTCATAATTATTAGCATCGCAGAGAGTTTGGAACAAAGATCCTCAGGGTGGTGGGGATCACGGAGGCTTTGGGTGGCAAGTGGCCCTTGAGAGATGGAATTGGGAGGAGTGCAGACATGTTCTGGGGGAAGAAGCTGAACAGAGAGGTCACTGTGGCGACTGGTGGGCAGGATGACTAGAAAGTACACTGAGGCCAGAGCACGGGGAGCTTCAAATGGCAGGTTTTAAAGTCTGACCGTTTCCTGTAACCTTGAGGGGATGGGAGATGGGAGATATTTTGGGGCAGAGCTCAAGACAACCCAAGGGGCGGCTCACATACGTGATCATGGAAAAAAGGGTTCCACCTTCACCTCCCCGCTGCATGTGGCTCTCTTCTTGGCAGGGCCTTCCTCATTCAGGGGAGAAGATCCAGAACTGGCTGGAGCAGCTCACCAGGCTGCTTGAACGTTCCGTGTGACACTTACGGCTCCGTTTGAGCAAAGCCCATGCCAGCGAGGGGGGAGGCTGCTTGCACGGGTTGCCGCCCTATCCAAGGCATAGACTGAACCCTAAGCCAAGAAACACATCAACTTCCTGGAACTCTTGAGCCCTCGTCACAGCTGTCAGCCTTCAGAGCACACGCAGGGCTGTCCTGATTAGAGGAGACGGTTTTGCCTCGAGCTTTGCAGACAGAGGGAGGACAGGCATTGATTGCTGGGGAGAGCGACACCTAGTCTGGTTAGTCTGGTTGGTTTTGTCCCGGGTCTAGCCAGGGCTGGTGAAGAATATTCCCTGCTACTTGTTAAGCCCTCTAGCAGCTCAGGACACTTTTTTTAGTATCCCACTCTCAACTCGAACCCAGCCTATCCCAAGCTGGCTCAAGCCGGCCTAGCTTGCTGTTCACTAGTCTGTCCCAATCAGTGGATCAACCATCCCAAGTATTTGTGAGCACCTGTGGAGGCGCAGCCCCTACCTCCTGGCTCCGGGTTGTAAAGCGCACTATTAGAGGATCTGTGGGCCTCCACTGTCATCAGAAGGATCTAAACTTACCCCACCTCTCCTGAGGCCTTAGGACAGATTGTAGATTTCACCTAGAAGGCTCCAGGTTTTCAGAAGCTGAGAGGCTTTGTTTCTAGACCATCTTCCCTTTTATCTTTGATCTGTCCTTTGCTATCTCATGGGACCTGGAGACAGGCTCTTTAATCTTTTCTTCCTGGCCCTACAGAGCATTGTCCCTTATCTTCTCCGGCTGGGGGCCGGCCTTCCCCACCCCCTCATCCTCACACACAGATGGACCTCTGCCCTCTCCGAGCATCCTGCTGCCAGTGGATCTGGGCAAAGCCTGTGGGGAACGCTAATCCAGAAATTCAGTATGCTCCCTCCCGGGCCAGAGACCCACCCCTCCAGATTCCTGGCCCATGTGCTTCACATTCCCCTACTGGAGTCATTTTGTAGGGCACAGTTTCTCCTTACTGGTCTTGTCTTTTTCTTTGTCCCTGAGGCGGTGGTGATAGAGGTAAGGGGTATCTTGAATTTTCTTCCTAGAACTGTCCTGTACTTTTCCACTCACCGAGTTCTGTGAATCCCTCAGGCCTGCTGGAACCCAAAACAAACAGAATAGCAACTCTTGTTATTCATCTTAATCGCAAGACATTCTCAGTATTCAAATCCTTTGCATCCAAGACCAGAGGGTGAAAGTTTCAGGGTCAAGTCTGCCAGGTTGAGTCTCCCCTGTCCCTTCTGAGTGTGTTGAGGTTACTTGGTGGACTTTTTAAAGTATCCTTTGTAAATGAGGGGAGGGAGTGGGTCCAAATTTTAATGAGAGCCTTAATTATATTCTGGAGAGTTTTAATTCCAGAGACATCTCTCTGACATGTGTTTTTATTAATTATGTATAGAACATAGTTCACTTTGCTTATTTGGAGATCTTGGCAGTTTCTAGAAAAAAAACGTGGAGCTATTCCTCTCCAGACTTTCTCCCTAATAAAGTGTACTGTTAACTTAAAAATGAAAGAATTTTGCTTTTTTTTTTTACCAGTATTTAATTTCACTGTAATTATCTTTAAGTTTAGATGGGTGTGGGTGATCTGAAAGGATGTTTTGTTTATGCATTTCTGGAACTTCACTGGAATTTTAATAAAACTGACTTTTTCATAGTTTAAAGGACGGTGGGTTATATGTCAAGTAAAACCAGGGTTCTTATCCTGCATATCTTGGGATGAGTTTCTGAGGTCCTTGACTCTTTCAACTACCTTGGGTAGTTCTTCCCTTCTTCCCTGCTCCATCCTCCCAAAGGGAGAACTCAAGTGTAAGACACAGGTATGGAGCATGTGCATTTTTCTCTGTGTGGGGGTCCATTATTTTCATCGGATCCTCAAGAAGTATCTTGCCCCCCCCCCAAAAAACATTGAGGATTCCTGTCTAGTAACAAGGGTTCATTCATCTAGGCTGAAGGGGTCTCTGTCCCATTCAGGAGTCATCCCCTTTGAGTCACTCCTTGTTTCCTGATACTTTGGTCAAAAGCCAAAGTGCTTTTGAAAAGAGAAAGGGACAAAGAAGAAAGATGGAGAATGGAAGCAGTGAGGTATAAAGAGAAACATCCCTGGGTCAGAGACCGGTGAGAAGCTGCTCTGATAGTTGTGGGCTGGGGGCCCTTGCCCACCGTGCACACCAGGCAAGCAGGGATCTGCCCCTCTTAGGTGCCCACTGTGTGTGGACAGAGTCAAAGCCAAGATGATAACAGGGCCTGTGGCGTGATGGGGCAGCTTTTTCCCAGACACTCTGAAAGGGGATGAAAATAAGAAAATATATGAAGCCAGTGTTTGTCCAGGCAGCATTTTAAGTTTTCTCCCAGTTTTGCACCCTCCAGTTTAGCTATGGGTGCTGTTTGCAGAGATGGCATGTGGCTTGGTGCTCTTACTTTCTCAAACCCTTGAAGGGTGTGTGTAGTGAGAAGTTTTCTTTACCTGGTACAGAAAAGGACAGATAGGCATTTGGTCCTGTTTGAACCGCTAGGGACACTTCCCCCATCACTCAGGGAAAGGTGTCATACTCTCTCCTTTGCGTTAAAGGACTGTTTTTAAAAAAAAGTTCCATATTTTTTGCTTTCTCAACTCACTTCCTGCCTGTTCCTGATAGCACTTAGTGCTGTCTTGTTCTTTCAGCCCTTTAACTGGCGGCCCATCAGCACCCGCTTTAACATGCCGTCAAGCACCACCTGGAGCCCCCGGTCCATGCCATGGCATTCTCACATGATGCTGTCCTTGACGATGCTGGAGCACTTCGGGCAGTTCTTGTCTGCACAAGGCTCACTCCACTAGTTGGTCTGCTCAGACGCTAATGGACAGCTCTGGAATCAACCAAGGGACAGGAAGCTTGCTGCTAAATGCAAACAGGGGATGGGGCATATTCTACCCACCTTGATTTGTGACTACTGGTGTTAAGTGGAGAGAGTGATACAGAGACAGGATCGTTTCTGGTCTTGACTCCCTCTTAATGGTACCTTTCCTTATTCCTCTAGGTTGCTCTGACTCTGCTCCAGTGGTGGTGGCTTTGAGGTGTGACCCTCTCCACATTTGGGCCCAGCCAGTGCCAGCTCCTCAGTAAGGAGGGCCAGCTTGATAAGGCGAAGGAAACAGGTCAGCTACACTTTATTGACTTTCTTTCAGTCACAATAACGTTGCGTGTTGAGTCTGTCTTCCTTTCCTTCTCCCTCTTCGTGTTCCCTTTGAGCTGCCCGCCTCCTCTCCAGGTCCTCCTGAGGCTTTGATGCAAAAGCACATTGAAAGTGTGATTCTGCTTGCCAGCTCTTCCTGACCTAATGGGCCTTAGGTGTGGGATGAGAAACCTCGGAGAGGATGCCAAGTGTTTGTCTCCTAGGAAACAATGCTTCAGACCCACCCATTCCCTACTTCTCGCCCCAATCCAAACTATGTGTTAAAAACTGGAACACGTGGCCTGTCCACTTGGCCCTGTCAATAAGGTGACTTCTTTTCATATCTGTGATTTGGGAGCTTCATCTGGATTCCCAGTCCTCTTTGGTTCCAGTTGGAGGAGATTGTATTAGAAGGGGGCCAGTGATTTTTAGTTTTGGTTGTTATTATTATGATTATTATTATTAGCAGTGGTGGGGCTGATGTGCAGGACTGTGTCAGGAAGGAAAAGGGAAAGAATGAAAATATTAAAATTAATACCCATAAAGAAAAATGTGTTTTATAAATGGACCTTAAACTGTTAAGCTTACCATTCATTCCTTGACATACTAAGAAATTCAGGTTTGTTAGTTTGGGTCTTTGCTCTGGTGTAGTCCAGGGCTGGGCGTGGGGTCGGTGGAATGGACTGATACTGGCTAACTGGCTTCTGGTTAAATCAGTGCATAGATGCACCTAAACGTGAAGGTGGATTTTTTTTTCTAACACAGAACAATAAGTCATTGTTTTACACTAGGTTCTTTCCTTCTTCCCTGCTCCATCCTCCCAAAGGGAGAATTCAAGTATAAGACAGGAGGAACTTAAGGCACAGGAGGAGCGGGAGTGAAATCTGGCAGTGGCTCCGTGGAGCTGCTTTGGGCTGCTTCTGAAACAGCTTTCCGGGGCTGAGTGCAATGACTCCATTCCTCTCACACAGTAGCCGGGGCTTCTTTTTCATAATTGCACTTTGTGATCAGCGATGAGAAGAATCTCTTAAAAAATACATATGCTGTTTACTTCCATTTAAGCTAAAAAAAAGGAAGTAAAGTAGGTGATCTTGGCATCGTTAGTGGGTAGTGCCACACTTTACACTTTATCCCAAAGTAGGAATGGAACAAATTTAGCAAATGTCTTCCTGTCCAGACAGAATGGGAACCAAGTTTGCATGATGTTTTTCCCTGTCCCGTTGGAACATTTGGCCCTTACGTTGATTAGCTATCATGACTGTTGCTAGGTATTTTATATTTAAGATGCTTAGGTACTTTGCCAGAATGTGTCTTTGATAATCATGACTGACAAAAATAGTAACCAGCAATTTGACTTTATTTAGTGAATATATTTTTATTGATTTTCACATTGACTATATCCCTCCTCTCCGTTTTCTTTCCCTTCTTGATGATAGGATTAGGATATATGTCTTGTAACTTATAATTTTACATACATTCTTAATGGTGTTTACTCTAACCTATTCCCAGATCTGAGTAAACTCTACCACATTTTTCTTGCCTAAGTGTAGCAACAGGACAAAGCAAAAGTCCTGCTACAAATCAGTGGAAAGGCTAACTTTCTTTTGGATGAGTGACATAACATAATTACAGTAAAGAAGATTGCTAGTCATTTATTTTATTGTTTGCTGTACAATGATAAATATATTTATCATTGGAGAAATAACATTTAAATGAATATCATAGAGGAAATACATTTAAGTGAATAAGATGGCTTTGGTATTGAAGGTGTCCACTTAGTGAATCAAATAATTCTTTGTTGATTGATTACAATAGTTCTAGGGAATTGATGAGACTTTTGTCAGAAGTCCATTAAGAAGGAAAGCAGGTGTGGATGTGTATGCACACTTACTTGTGTGCACTCATGTTGCATGTTTTCTCCAAGAGAGAAATCTTCCAAATAAACTTTCAAAGACAGCTAAAAACAGGAGGTGGTAGCACAATTTTTAGTAAGTTTAATGGTCTTCTAGCCCGCTGAAACTTCGTGGAAAAACAACCAAGTTTTTGTCTTTAATGTTGGACATAGCTTTCCTCTGTTTGCAGGGAAAGTTGGGGAGGCTGGATCAGTTGTCCTAAGCTGTCCATTTCTGCAGTCAGTCCTTTCACTTGCCATTTAGAAAATCATTAGGTTTGTATCTTCAAAATATCTATTAACATGGAAAGCACATTTTTTCTCTCGATAAGAAAAGTACTGTTCATGAGATGCTCTTCGGCTCTTTTGGTAAGATTTTAGCTTGGGACTACTCAGCTGATGGCAACATCACTTAATAGAGTTATATCCCCTGGCCTTTCCTGCTCTGCTGTAGGCAGACACATTTGTAGCTGCTCGGGGTATTATCATTTGTCATATCCTAGGTCACATCCCCTAAAGTTGGTGGAGGAAACCATAAGAAATCATGTTCTGTCCGGTGTTGTTCCTATGTATTTACTTTATTGCTGAGATCTGGCGCTTGATCTTCGACTGCAGTTTTGTGCTTGTAGAATTTATTAAGCACCCCATTGAATAATAGGATATGTGGCTTACTGGCAGGGCTTTAGCTGTAGAATATATTCTCAGACAAAATGAGGGATATAGTTTACCTGTAAACTTATTTCTGGCCATACCTATAGCCATAATACTAATAGTTGCAAGGAGTGGAACTAGAAAAGGCCTGAAGAAGTGAATTTTGATGTGGCCATGGGTTGTAGTTTTCCCTTTAGCCATGCTATTCATAGTACCTGGTTTCATGTAGGTGTGACCTTCTGAACTATAAGCCTTTTAGTAAAGTGAATTCGTTTACTGCCTTATCTTCCGTCAGTTCTAGGTAGAGGCGGGAGGGGGCCGAGTGGGAATCTGGGGGTCCTTGTGAGGAACTGGGAAGATAGGAAAGGAAAGTCAGTGTATGTGGCTAACTGTGAACTTCAACAAGTAAAATACCACAAAATCGTTTTGGCTGTTGGGAGTGAGGGTGACATCAGTGTAGGGAGCGTCAGTTAAGGTTGAAAACAACCATAGAATGTGGTTGGGAATGAAGAGAATACTTAGAAAATCACCTCTCATTTGTTCCCCGTGTGTTCATGAACACAGTAGTCTGAGATGACGGGAATTGAACGGTTTCAGTTTTTCTTTACTAAGTGAAAGGACATTCACTGAATCTTTTTGCCTTTGCTTCCCTTCCAGTGTCAACGAGTGATTCCAAGGGAAGAAAACAAGAAGTGAACACAAGCCCGTCCTACTGCGCGTGGATGATAGCTATAGCAGGGGAAAGTCTCGTAGTGTATCAGTTGGGGCAGAAAATGGAGGTAATCGGCAGTGGGGCTGGGTTTTCCTTCTGTCCATTTTCTGGGGAACAGTTGTTTTACCTACTTGTATTTTTTAAGAAACAGTCTCTCATGTTGATTTGAAATTTGGTGACAAATCTGATAGGGTTGGCTTCTCCGCTGTCTTGTACAGCAGTAGAGTTCAGTGAAACCTTCAAGTTCTCATCACGAGTTGTTAAGCCTGGGACCTTCACATAGGTCAGTGAGTTGGGTCAGTAAGGGGTACTGGCCAAATGGCAGCTCCCTGGGCTTCCTGACTGCTGGCCTAGCCTTGTGCACTCTGCCTACCAAAGGTTAGGAAGGGCAAAGGGGCCTGCACATGCGGCTGGCTCGGTGAGTTGTATTGGCATCACCAGGGACGGAAGCAAGGTGACTGGTTAGTGTTCGGTATGACACTCTTCCTTTAGATGAAAGCCTAAGTCATTATGGGCACGGGTTTTAGCTTGAGCTGGAGAAGGAGGGTTTTAGGTGTTTCTACCTGACCTTTGGTTATAGTGGCTATGGCCAGTGCCACCTGGCCATGATGGAGCCTGAACTTCCCAGTGATCACATCAGCAATTTCCGACTTTCAGTTCCATGGCAGAGGCTTCTTAGAAGCTTAAACCCTTGTCCCAATGACGTCAAGTTCACCCGTTGGCTTGGAAGGCCCAGACTTGGCTTCCATCAACACCATGATGTCCGCGGTAATGAGTGTAGGGAAGGTCGCCGAGAACGGCGGGAGCCCCCAGAGCGTCAAGGCCCCCACGAAGCCTCCAGGACCAAATCGGATCGGCAGAAGGAACCAGGTAAGCTTTTGGGCGCTAGGCATTGACATCTGGTGGCTTCCGTCTAGGAGAACGCTGGGAGGATGTCCCCCTTTAGCCCCAGCTTTCTAAGCCAAAACCTGGGATGTTTTCAGAACTAAACGGACATACCCGGAGGACAAAATCATTTTTAAGAGCAAGCTAAAAACTTACATCAGTGCTTATGTCAGTTTCCTCTTATGGAGAAAATTTTTAATGCCTTGGTGTCAATATTGGTGAAAGAGCCCTTATTCTGTGCCCTGTAATTTGACGTGAACACAAGCTTTCATCACATCATGGCCAAAGCGAAGAACTTTACTTTCTTCTCTACTGCAGCATGGTTCATTTTCCTATTCACTCAGCTGGTTAATTAGGTTTTCGAAGCCACACCTCCTTGATCTTTTTTTTAATGAGTGTCTTCAGATTAAGTAGCAAGTGAGGACTGGTGGGGCCGGAGCTGCTGTTCAGCTTTCCATCCTTGACAAAGCACAGAATTCGGCTCCAGAGAATTCTGAGTAAGATGCGGTGTAGTTCTTTTGACTTTTTAAGGGGCATCAGATCAGGAGAAGTGGGAAAGAATGTGGTGGGCAGGGATGGGAAGGATTAATCTATGAAAGTCCGTGTCTCCTCCATTAGGGAATAAGATGACTCTTAATTAATTTACAAATGGGGCCCTTGAAAAGTTGTGCTATTCTGGTAGCAATGTGTACGGTGCAACTGAAGGAGAGAGGCAGAGGGTGAGCAGTTCTCATTTCTTCTCTGTACCCATGTCATATGAACAGACTACTCTACATTTCTTTTTGGTTTAACTGATTTAATAGGGTCCCACCAAATCCTGGGGAAGAAGGCAGTCTTCTGAGCTTGTCTAAACCTGTGGGGGTTTTGTGAATTAATTGTCTCTTTTATTAATAATCCTGCAGTGACTGCCCTTACACAGAATTGTCTGAGGACATCTATGATGATTTTCTATAAATTCTTAGGAGAATATTAATTACGGCCTGGATAGAAAGTCCCTGCCAGGAGAGGTCATACCAGCCTGCAGCCCCCTGCAGTGTGGGAGGTGTCGTGGGAGGTGTGTGCTTTCTCCACACCTTTCTCAAGGCTCAGGACTCAGCAGAGTTAAATGATGTTGTAGGGTTGGACCATTGATACCTTCTTCTCTCTTTTTTCCCTTCTCTCCACGTGCCTCTCTTCCTGTGGGTACCTGAGAAAATACTCAGCCTGTATGACTGTGGCCTGAGTCGAGAAGGAACGCTAGCTCTGGGAAGAAAAGGTTTATTTCCACTCACATGCCTGTCCCTCCATCCATCTGTCAACCGTCTCTCCATCCATCCACCCATTTCACAATGCATGCCTGGCTCCTACTTCCAGCCAAGTATTGTGCCAGGTGTCAAGCATTTCAGGGTGAATGGGACACACAAGGTCATTGTCTCCTTGCCTCGGGTCTATAGGAGAAAGTGGTGTGGTAGGGATGAGCCCTCCTTATAGAGTCCAGCATTGCCCCTGCACAGGTCAACTATGTCCCGGTCTGGACCTTTCCCAGTGGTACAGGGACAGTAGGTAGAGCCACAGAGGGGACCCACACACCTCTACCTGCATGATAGGTGGATGTGACTCTGCAGGTATTGGGCAGCAAGTGGTGCAGGTGTGCCTGGGCCATTTTTCATCTACCTCCTGC